TGTGGACCAAGCTGGCCTTGAACTCACAGAGATCCACCTGCCTCTGCCTTCTGAGTGCTGGGAGATTAAAGGCGTGTGCCACCATGCATGGCCTGTAACTTTTTTCTTTTGAGAGTAGGTTACACATACCTTTTCTTTTGCATGTTGAACCATTTTGGATTATCTCTATGCTATTCCTTCCTTCCAATTTTGAATCCTTTAATAATCTGTCTGCTTTTTTTGAAACTCAGTAGTGCTTGCAGATAGTTTTTCATATTTTGTCAAAGTTTATATCTGTTTTCTATAGGAGAAAAAGTCTGGTAGGAGTTTACTCTTAACGTAACAATTATATTTTATAACTGTTACATACTATACATTTTGGAATAAGGAGATGTCTATTGAAGAAAAGCCTAGGGACGTCTCCCTCCCTCCCCACATCCTCCCCCCCTCCTTCCTCCCCCCCTCGTCCCTCCCTCCATATTAGCACAAAACCTATATAAGAAGAGGGTCCTTCTAAGTCTAGACCAGTAGTTTTTAACTTGGGATGATTTTGTCCCCAGGGGTCTGAAGACATTTTTGATGACCATATCATAAGACGAGACACTATAGGTACTTTATGGGTAGAGACCAAAGATGCTACTAAACATCCCAGAGGGCTCAGGGTAGCCCCACACAGCAAAGGAATTATCTGGCCCCAGATGTCAGTAGAGCTGAGTTGAAAGGCACTGTCCTTTGCTAACTTCCTAGATGACTACGAGGAAGACATTTTTTTCTTTTATTATTTATAAATTCTTGCAGCTGCAACTAATTCTAGATAATAATGATTCTCATGTCCTTAAGTGAAATTTTGCTACAGGTAGCAAGTAAAATATGTTTGGGACTTGACTTTTTAAAGTTTTAATTTTTTTGGTCAGGGGAGAGAAGGGGATGTCTAAATGGTGCTTTTGAAAACTTAAAACTTGTAACACTTTAGAGTGAATACAACTATCATTTTCATCTACCTTAGTTGCATTGATTTAAAATTTACATTTTATAGCTAAAGTTGTGAGGTTGGAGAAATCATTAGTTTAGTATCATTTAAGGAAAAAACTAGCTGAGCTGTGAAGTTTGCTTACGTATAATTATTTTTTTGCAATCTATAGAAACAAGATCTGAAGTGCCACATCGTCCCCAACTTTATAGCTGTCCATTTCTCTATATTTCTCTGTTCTTTATCCCCCATATATATTTTTTCTGTTTAAATGTTGGTAGAGAATTAAAATAGTAAAATCAGTTTCATGGCTTTCTTGGGAGCCCTTGTCAAGAAATAACTGTGGTCCTCCAGTTGCTTGGCTTTCACTGCCATGATTGCTGGCTCAGGGTGGTGATGAGAAAGGAAAAGGATGCTTTTATCCCTCTTTCTTTTAAAGTTATTGATGTTAATAAACCTTGCATAGCAGATAATTAAGAATGTTACTAGCTTTTATTATAGAGCACACAAATTATAATTATTTGCCAACGAGATAAAGCATGCAAATAGACTTTTAAAAATTAAAGTTGTTTAGATGGAAAGTTAATTTAGTCATTTGAATGAGCCTTCACCTATATTTTGCATCATCATTAACAGCCTTTTCTTGAGGAGAAAAGATATCAGAATGTCTCCTTTAGTTCCTTAGTTGTTTCTCTCTCTCTCTCTCTCTCTCTCTCTCTCTCTCTCTCTCTTTCCTTGTTCAATTACCTTCATTTGTGGGACATAATTAACATTTCCAGCATTTAAGAAGGATTCTTTCTGGAGCAACTAGTAGCTGGATATGCTTAAACCCTTTCTGCCCCTTTTTCTGCCCTGTTTCCTGAGCCTTGGAAGGGGCAATTTAGATGTTGCATTTATGTCTTGGGCATTCAGCAGTCATTTAGTCTTAGTGTTCTGACCACTGTAAAAGGAAGCATCTCTGACCAAAGCTGACATTATTCTGTGGGCATAAACATAAGTTATTTATAACACAATTTGTCAGTCACACCATGTTTATTTAAAAAACAGCAGCAATAGCTTCCCTACTAGGGCTTAAAACCGCCCTAGCCATGGGCCTTTTACTGGTTTTATAGTACCAGCTGAGTTCCCTCCAGTGGATTGAGCCCCAGATCCAATCAGAAGGCTGTTGGGTATCCCGACAACAGACTTGCCACTACTTTGCCAATGGTCTCATCTTGCCTGGTCAGTCAGTATTGTTGAATACGGGGTCCACAGCAGAGTAAGACTGTCGATGACAATTCTCCCCCAGCTGCACAAGTACCTCCTGCACTGTGAGGGATAGCTAACACAAAGAAGCTTCTAGCCCAGTTCCAGCTTGATTTCTCCATGTCCTGTGACTAAAGCATGTGGTATCTTAAGTAAAAGGCCTTACCATCTACATCTGGTGGGCAACCAACGGCAATGGCAATTGCCTGTATTGCTTTGGGGGCTGTAGGGGCTTTCCTGACCAATCACTCATAGGATGGTAGCACACACTTGGTTCAGGGATTTTCATTTATGGCTTCTGGGTGAAACGTTCTCCACCTACAGGGTATCTCTGTTCTGCCCTGTAAACTTTGAAAGAAATTGCTACCCTGTTTAACAGAGTGATTCTACTATTTCCTATGACCATTGGCTATATATGAATGATCTGGTCCTCCCACAGTCTCACTGCCATAGCTAGTTTTCATGTTAGCCGTTCTGAGAGATGGGTGGTCATGGTTTATTGCAATTTTAATTTGTGTTTTGCTGATCGTGATGATATTGCACATTTTTCTGTGATTTTGCTCTATGCTTATATTCTTCAGTAAAATATATTCTCATCTGTTTTGTCTAGGTTCTAATAAATTGTTTGCTCATTTTTCTTGAGTTGTGAGATTTTTTTACATATATATTCTAGGCACCAGCCCTTTGTTGAATATAATTTGCAAATATTTGTTCCTAGTTGGTGGCTTGTCTTGTCACACTCATCATACGGCCTTTCACTTTTGGGGTCACGTCCAATAACTGTTACCTAGTTCTGCATTTGGAGATTTTTTCATAGCTTCAAAAATGAAATAAAATTCATGTACCAATATATTCACTCCATTAGAAGATATGATTAAGTGATGTTAAATTAATTTAAAATGTTGTGCATCTATTACCATTATCTAGATCAAGGGCTTTTTTTTAACATCCCAGATAACCTACTGACCCTGTTAACCTACTTCCTGTAGCACTTCTCTCCAGGTGTTGGCAATCACCAACCTGCTTTCTGTCTTTCCAAGTTTGCCTGTTCTGGAGTGTTATCTGTAGAGGCATACTTCTGGTCATGTGAGACAGACCCTGAAGGAAAGATGGTTTAAAATGCTAGTTTTCAGTATGCAACTCTGATGTTAGCTGTAAGGTCCCATATAGGTATGATTTTTTTTTTACCTAAAATATTCTAATTTTTTAAAACCTAAAATATTCTAATCATTCATTCAACCTTATGGACATTTTTGGATAGTTGCTATGTGTGGCATGCCTGGCACCAGATTTTATAATACCCTCATTTTACTCAAGTGAACTTCTATTTTCATCACGTTTTTTTTTTTTTTGTGTGTGTGTGTGTGTGTGTGTGTGTGTGAATGCTAAGTTTCATTTGGATCTGATTGATGCCTTGTAACTGGTGATGTTAAGCAATTTAAATAATTCCTGTCAATTTAATGGCCATTCAAATTTATAGACATTTCCCTTGGTTCAAATAATAACTTGTTTACTTGTATGTTATGATTTTCAGTTCAAGAATCTCCAAAACACATTGTTTTTCTGACTGAATCAACAAGAATAATGAATGTCACTAATTTCATTTTTTAATACAGTCCTGCTATGTGCATATATTATATATACTTGAGATCTGGTTTCATTTGCTCAGCACAGTGTTCATGTTGTTGTGTATAACATCACTTCCCTCCTTTTTATTGCTGTGTAGTACTACATTGAATTAATAGGCTATATTTATAGTGAATTCTAGAAATTATTCCTTAGAAGCTTTTTGTTTTCTTGTGATGGAGGGGTTGAACCCAGGGCCTTCAGCATGCTAAGCAAGTACTGTGCTCTCAGCAATTTTATATATCCCACAAATGTATCCCAATTTGTTTATTCTTCTGTAGAATGGATTGTTTTCAGCTTTTAGTTTTTATGAATAGAGTTGCTGTGTGTCTATTTGTACATGGTATTTGTTGGACATGTCTGTTATCTCCTTTAATACCTTAAATCACAATCATTTCAATCTTGTAAAATTGTTAAATTTATTCCTCATCTTTGTACTATGTCATATTTACTTTTTTCTAAATGGGTTCCTCTTCAAATTTAAGTCAGATATTTACACCCCCTAAAGCCTTCAGGAGAAGGCAACCTCAGTTTCCACATTCCTGGTGTTTGCAGACCTCCTCCGGCATCACCAGCAGAGCTGGAATCATCTTGTCCACTTGATCCTAGACACTGCTTGACAGCTTACAAAAGGAAGACCCTTGACTGAATCTGACCCCACTTGTGTAAAATGCATATAAGTGTACATGTGAATGTCTCTTTTCAAATGGAGTTATATACACTTAATTACAGTTAATAGTGGGCATTAGTTGTCCTTAGTCAGTTTATATGCTATACTTTGGAAAGTTTTCCCAGTGACAAAGATTATTTTTCCACAATATTTGTCAGAGGTGACATTTATGGATTTCTGAATGGTAATATCACAGAAGTATTAGTAAGTAGTAGTTCTTATATTGTATCACTTGATAAAAATTATGGTTAGTATAATTTTTTATTTAAAATTCAGTATTCCATTTAATCATATTCTGAGATGTTTAAGATGCATAGGTGAATAATATGTTCCCCTCCCCTACATGGAAAAATAGATCAAACATTAATTAAGCATGTAATTAATTCAGTATGACTTCCTCTTTTATTTTAAATGGCCTTTTCTTTATGTTTAAAGTATAAAAACTTTCCTATTTTTCCTTTCTGTCCTCAAAATTCCACTGTGGGTGATACCATGTTTGCTGATACGCAGCTTTATCAGGTATGACTCCTACATGGAATGTTGCACTTTACAAATGTATTGTTGAAATTCTTGAGGGAAACCCTTTCTACACTGAGTTCTCTGTATTCATTTGATCAGTACTTTTGAGTGATAATATTACTGCGCTATGAAGTTTAGAATGGTCTTTGTATCAAAAACAAGTTTGCCAAATTTATTATATGCTTTATTATGTACTTCAAATGGTTTAGAGTGTTTTCTTTAAAAAAATTTACTACTGTCTCTGGCTTTCTGCATTATTAATCTGTGTGTAATTCTCTGTTTTTCCTGTTTATGTGTGCTTATGTACACTTTTGTGTTATCCTTAACATGCATGTGTTTTTAAAAACAAAAGCATATTCTTTAGTAGTGAGTACATTCCTAACCCTGATCTGTCTTCCTCCCAGGCTTTTATGAAGCTGTGTTTTATGAAATATATTAATATATTTAATCTATACTACTCATTAGAGTGTCACAAAAGTATGCATACATTTATTTATTTATTTATGTAGGATCTCACTGTGTACCCCTGGCTGGCCTGGAACTTGTTATGTAGATTAGGATGGCCTTGAACTCATAGAAATCCACCTGCCTCTGCCTCCAGAGTGCTGGGATTAGCGCTGGTACATAAGTTTATAAAGATTCTGTTTTTATGTGTATGAGTGCATGTATGTAAGTGTACCTGTGTTGTACAGTGCCTGAAGAGACCAAAAGAGGGATTCTGAGCCCTTGGACCTGGAGTTTCAGACAGTTGTTAGCTGCCATGAGGTGCTGGTAATTGCACCTGGGTCTTCTGAAAGAACAGCCAGTGCTCTTAACTGCTGAGTCGCCCCTCTAGCCCCCAAGATTCTGGTTTTATGCAGTAAATAAATTGTCCATCTTTGTTTATCTCAGCACCATTTATAAATACTTGAATTCAGAACACTTCATAATATATAGGGATATGCTGGGCATGCCAATCTGAAAAATGTCCCCCAAACTATAAATAGTATTTTCTTTGTAGTATTTTAAAACATTAAATAAAATTGACTGTGTCTGATTACATTTTTAAGAGGTAAAGCATTTAGCTGAATTTAGGAATATGTTTTCTTGTAGAAATTACATTTTAAGTAGTGCTGATGTTTCTTCTGAGAAATTACCTCTTTTAATAATTTTGAATAATCTTTAAAAAGAATTTGTGAACCTGTAAAAATTGAGCTTTTTTGTTGGAAAGGATTTCTTTGGTTTGTTCTGTTTTTGTTTTGTCATTAATTGCCAAACTATTTCTCTTCTATAAGAATTTACCTTTATATTTAAAAGACATGCTTACTCTTTCAGATAGCGTGACACAGGAAAGGAGACCTCCCAAACTTGCCTTTATGTCAAGAGGTGTTGGTGACAAGGGTTCATCCAGTCATACTAAACCAAAGGTTACAGGTATGGATTAGTAGGGTATTACATGAGATCTTACTTTTCCAAGCGTTAAATAAATTGTATGCTATCACGTGTTAACTTATGTATACATATATGTATATGATTTTTCTTTCAAACATTTTAAGTTTTGTGCATATGGTATTACTAAACACCCTTCACTTTTCTTCTTTTTAATCTGATGAGATGCTTACTGTGAGAACTTGTATCTTTTGGTCATCCATATCAACTGGTTTAGGAACTCCATACCTGTCGTGTTGTGTGTTATTGTAGTATGTATACTTTAGAGTGAAAATTACAGAAAATATCATGAGTGGATAGCATTATATAGGATAAATTACACTGGATGTTAGTGTGGCTCTTGCCAACTAAATGTGACACAATTAAAATAAAAAAAAATGCTAAACAAAAATTTATTTCTCTTCCAGAAGCTTTCCCTTGTCACGTGAAATATAGTTCACAGTTCTTTTCCTGTTAGTTCCTGCATACTTCATAAATTTATAGGGTGATAGTTACATAAGCTCAACAGGAGCTCATTTCAAAAATGATAAGAATTTTTGTTTTGTTTTGCTGTTTTTTGGTTTTTGAGACAGGGTCCTCAGTAGCCCTAGCTGGCCTGGAACTTGCTGTATAGATTAGGCTGTCCTTGATTTCACAGAGATCTGTCTGCCTCTGCTTCCTGAGTGCTGGGATTAAAGGTGTGTACCACTGCACCTGGCTAAGAATTTTTGTTAACTTCCTAACTCCAAGTGAGTTAGGAGGATTTCTTTCCCTCTGTGTTATTTCATGAAAAAAAAAATCAGCTTGTTTAAAAGGAAATCATATTTTAAGTGATATTTTGTGTAATATTGGGCCCTGAGACTTAGAATTAATTGCAGGATAATATAGGTAGTAATATTCTTTATGTTCACCTGTCCATGTAAGATAGTGTAAACTTGGACGGAGGGGATAATTCAATCAGTAATGAGTTTGCTGTGCAAGCATGAGGATCCGAGTTTGATCCCCAGAACCTCTCTAAAACAGTCAGGTGTGGTGGTGCATGTTTGTGACCCCAATGCTGGGGAAGTGAAGACACATGGAACCCTGGAAATGCAGGCCACTGCTAGCCAACTAGCCTAACTTAATTGGCAAGTTCCAAAGAGGAGAACCTCTCTCAAAAAAAAAAAAAAAAAAGCAAACAAGATGAATGGCTCTTGAGGAACATCTAAGGCTGTCCTCTGGCCTCCACGTGCACGTATACGCACAAGCACACATACACTTGCACACACACATATACCCATATGCATGTGCATGAAAGCACACCCCTTCCTCCCACACACAAGCTTGCTACTCTCAAATATAAAAAGCTGCAGATTTCTTGTTTTGAGATGTGGTCTTGCTATGTTTCTCATGTTGTCCTCAAACTGGTGGGATATGGTGATCCTCCTCCTGTCATAGCTTCCTGAGTAACTGGGATTATGGGTGTGTGTCACATGGAGTATTGTGTTATAGCAGGTCTGAGTTAAAGCTACATAGTGCAGACTTGTTAGCTTTAAATAAATAAAAATGTTTCTATAGGTGTTGTGGAGTCCCCACTGATCTCCACTGTGGAGTGTCTTTTTAGTTAGTACTGGGACAGTATCTGGACATATTTGTGACATAGGTATACTTTTTCTTATTTATTTTATCACTCTGTAAATCTATGAAATACGTGAAAGCTAATAGAAAAAAAGTTGTGAACTCTACCTATATCATGAGGAAGTCTTTGGAAGACAGACAAATTTTTTCTTAAGCTTAGCATTTTGAATTTAATTTGTGCCACATCTAGTAGCAAGATCCACACATAATTAATCTCCAGTATAATTTATCTTATAACAAATATATGAAAAATTGTAGTGCTTCTTTTTTTTCCAGACACAAGGCTTAGAAATAACAATTCTAAGATTTTTAAATAATAAATCTAAAAATTAAAAAATCATTATTATTTCATCTGAAATGTTGGAGAGCAAATTCAACAAGACCTTATGCATGTGCCACTTGGCTGCAGCCCCAGCCACTAAAGTTAACTTTGTGTGTGTGCTGGGATCAAATCTTGCTCCTCACACATGCTCAGTCAGCACTGTACCATTGAGCTACACTACCTAAGCCTAAACCTGAAACTTTTACATCAGTTTTTATGTAGCGTTTGAAGAGCATCTTCTTCTGAAGAAAAAATAGTCATGAATCACTTAGTAATGGCATGCATTCTGAGAAGTGCATAAGTGGGGGTTTTGTTTCTGTTTGACCATCAGAGAGTGCGCTTACATAATCCCTGATGATGTAGTTGTGTGCATCTCTAGGCTCTATAATGCTGTTGCATTTGTGCTCCTTCATTGACGGAAATATCCTTATATGGTGTATGATTGTAATAGGTTAAATTTGTGAGCCTGCGGGTTCATCAAATAAAAGTAGGGGATGTGATTTCAACATTGAGAAATAAACTATAGTACATGGAATGATTTCTAAAAGCTGTTAATATAAAATTGAGCAGGCTCTAACTTGCTTCTTTTCTCCTCCAGTATTGAACAAATCATTGCCAAAGTTTTAGAAGCTGAAGACAAAAAAAATAAAATATATTGGTTGTATACATCTAATTAATTTTATGAACGCTTGCAAATACCATATGCATATTAATTTCTATTATTTATAAAATCCCTTTTATACCATATTGACTATTTTTTAAAGGAACTTTTCTTGTTCCATAGGCTCTACCTCAGACCCTGGAAGTAGAAACAGATCTGAATTATTTTATACCTTAAATGGGTCATCTGTTGACTCACAACCACAATCCAAATCAAAAAATACATGGTACATTGATGAAGGTAATCTATAATTTTAGTGTGTTTTTTTAGTTAGTGATTCTCTCCATTTAATGTGTAAGGGGAAATGTTTTTTCATTAATATTTCCAATTTTTGGAAACAGTCAATAGACCATTACTGATGCTGTACTACTTATTTAGATTAATAAAGCATTTAAAATGTGTTAGGCTGCTTTTATCTCTTAACTGATCTACTTAGGATAGCCGTTTTGTAGAAATGCAGTGAATCATTTAAAGGCTTCCCTGTCTGATTCCCTCTAAAACACTCTACCTTCCCTTGTTTCTGAGACATCATTTTCTTCTGGTACACTCATTGTCTTTATCTGTTCATCAGATGTTTACTGAGGCATTCTCTGAAACTACAGTGGTGAGAAAAGACAGACATAGCCCTTGCCCTGTTCAAATTCACAGTCAGATAGTTAAGATAGAAATTACTGAGACACAGGCAACTATGGAATACAGTGGTGACGTATGCTGCAATGGGACAGTGCCGGGAGGCACACTGGAGTGCTGTTTGCTTGGGTCACAGGGCAGTTCACATTGCCAGGGAACTGGTAGATAGTGCAGTGAAGAGGAAGTGTATAACAGCTGACTAGGTTGAAGGAACAGCATATGTAAAGATCTCCAAGAAGAACGAAACCTAGTATTTGCCAAGGACTAGAAAGAGCCAGTGGAGAAAGGGAAGCAGCCAATAGGGCCAGGCCTCATGCAGCCTGGTTACACCCCACTGAGAGGAAATGGAGAGTCACTGAAAGCTCTTCAGCAAAGAATAGCATAACCAGGTTTGCCTTTTGGAAAGACCATTCTGGTACAGAGCAGACAGCAGATTGAAGTGAAGATAAACAAGAACGAGGCTCGGTAACTGATTGTAACATCTGAGACAAAACTTGGGGAAGAGATAGAAGCAGACCGATAGAAGAGATACTGGCATGGACTAAAAGGAGTTACAGATAGATTAAACATAAAAGTTGAGGAAGAAAGGCATGCTTGTGGCGAGCCTTGGTTTTCTGGATAATGTACTTAGATGGTAGGAGGAATGTGATGATATTGATTTTGAATATGTTTAGTTAGAAGGGCCTTTAAAACCTCCCAGAAGTGAATCATCACATAGGCTGTTGACTGTACAGGTTTAGAGCTTAGAAGGGAGGTAAATAAGAGCTGGAAATAAATTCTCAGGCTGTCTTCACACAGGAGGATTGAAGACCACAAAAAACCCATCTGATATAGTTGTCCAGAAGTCACCGATGACCTGTCAGTTCTGTCATGGGAAGAATTTTATCAGAGGCTAGATTGGCATGTGCTGGGGATGTGGAATGAAGCAATGGAGATATGACTAGAGGCTTGGATCCCCTGCCCTGCCTTGTGCTTATGGCTGATTGCCTAGATATCCTTCCTTTTCCTCCAGTTTCACAGGCTGGTTTACTACTGTTCATCTTGGCTTATTGTTGATCATGTCTTAAATCTTAGCTGTTTAGTTTATCAAGAAGCCTTCCCTTTTCTCTCCCATTTCTCTCCAATTAGGTTAAATGTCCTTGAAGTGGTTTTGGTTACTTGCCTGTCTCCGCTGCAAGTTCCTAGTTGCTCAGAACAGTGCTTGATGTTCAGTAGGTTTAGTAAACTAAATGAAAACATGAACTTGTAGTACTGTTAGCTTCTATTAGCCTCTATAACAACTGTCACATTTGTTCAGTTATAGACTAAAATAAACCTACTAGTAGAACAGTAAAAATCTGCTGTTGGATAAATTGGGTTATATACTTATGCAGAAAATGACTTGAGTGACCATTCGTTGGTTCTGACTTTACATCTCATTTCTGAACTGACTGGGGTTTGTGAGCAGAGGCAACATGGGTTGCCTTCCAGAAGAACTCACCTTTGTCTCACAGCAGGAGGTAGGTCTAAGTGGTGTTCCTTTAGGAGGCCCTGTCTCCTGGTAGGCTGCTTTTGTTAGGATTTGCTCTGTATTAACCAATTTTCAGCTCTCTAACTTCTGGGGAATGCCTGGCAGGATTTTGGGCTCTCCTAATACAGCTGGTTTCTGGATATGCACAAGGCCCATCCAGGGCTGCTGTGAAGAGGCCTGCTCTTGCCCTGTCATTCCCAACAGCTTTGCAAATGCTTGCCAAGGTAATGTGGATTCTTGAAATTTATGGTATAATTTCATCTCTCTTGTTCTTGATACAGGTTCTGTGCTGTACTAGACTTTTTCTAACTTCTCGAGTCTACCAGAATCTGATTCATTGTTCAATAATTTCATGAAATAATATTGATTCTAAAAGGCATACCTGGAATGTTGGGCATGGTGGTGCACACTTGTAATCTCAGCACTTGGGAGGTGGCAGCAGGAATATCAGGAATTCAAGGCTAGTCTCAGCTATATAACAAGTTTGAGGATAACCTGGGCTACATGAGACCCTCAAAAAGAAAAAAGGATCTACATGGAACATATACAATAATGAAATTCATTTGAAACGAATCATCCTTCTTAAATCAGAAAATAGAAGTACTAGAAGTTAGTTATAAAAGACTATTATCATATAGTTAGTTTTACTCTTAGGTTTATAAAGCTTTTCTCTATAATATTTGATTCATTTCAAATAATTTTTGTATATTTCATACAGAAAATCATCTTTATACCCCCTTCCCCTTTGGAACCCTCCCATAGCCCCCACTGAAGTTCATACCTTCTGTCATTTGTATTAAGACCTACCATGTAAAGTTAGTGTCCCCAGATGTCCCTCAGTGGAAATTCATCTACTGGGATCTAGTTAGTCTATCTCAAGTCCCTCCCTTTAAGAAGATCAGCTCATTCTTACCCAGCAGTAATCAGCTGCCAATAATTCTTAGACTAAGATTGGGGCCTGCTGTTCATTTCCACAGTTCTGTGCTGGGGTTTGTCTGCCTAAGTTTGCATAGGCCTTGTGTATGTTGACACCATTGCTGTAGGTTTGTATGAGAAGAGTCCCAGGAGCCTATAGGTCTATTTCTGTATGGTCATGCACCTCCTCCCTGGCTCTTACACTCTTTCCACCCCCTCTTCCTCAGTGATCCCTGAGTCTTGGATGGGTGGATTTTAATATAGAGGTCTTGTCCAAGGACCCACACTCTGCAGACTCTTATTCTCGTGTTTTGGCCATTTGTGACCTTTTGTGTTCCTGGCCCTCTGTTGCATGAGGGAGCTTCATTGATGAGAATTTAAAGATGAATTGGTGTTCTCCTCATCCCTTGTTCTATGTTCTGTGAGCCTTAGGTGCACAGGTTGTATCCTAGATGTGCTGCTTAGGCTTGGGCAATTCACAGGCACTCTCTATGTGTGACCAGTTGTGGAACTCCGTAACTCTCTGTCTCTTGAAAAAGAAGCTTCTTTGATGGGTGGTGACTAGGATACTTGTCTATAGATTTAAGGATCCATATTACATTTGTCTAGGAATGTGACAGCCTTGGAGTTTTCTCTAAGATCTGTGACTTCTCCAGCTATGTGTATTTGGCTAGGTTTGTAGTACCACACATGAGTTTCCTCCCATTGGAGCTTTAAGTCCAATTAAGTAGCTGTTGATTACCCCCAAGATGGAAGTGCCACTACTGCACCAATGTCATTTGCTGAGCTGGTCATTGATGTGATTTTTTAGACCTTGAAGCTGGGGTTGGACCATCTATTGATGTTCTCCTTAGCAGCTTGCATAGTGTTCTCCAAAGCTATGTTAGCCAGCTTTCAGGGGAAGCGGCTTCCAGGTAGTTCAAGCTCTATTGCTCCAGATCCTGTGTCTAAAGTATGTCCTCTCTTCAGCAATAGGGTCTTACTATCAAGTTCTGAGAGGTAATCAAGGATTGTGGCAATAGCCTGTGTAATTTTGGGAGTCTTTCAGACTACCTTGGCCAACAACTCAAAGGAAAGTTTCCCCTGTTTGACACTGTTTCTTGTTATGTAACCTTCAGCTATACTCACAGACTCATGCAGAGATACTGTATATACAGTTTTTCAGTAGGTTTTTGAACTAATATGATTCCCTCTTTTTTTTTTTGTACTAGCTAGGCACTATTTATGTCTCCTGTTTCTCTCCCTGTCTTATCCTCTCTTCCTGCCCTCCTAATTTAAAGTGTCCCCATTTTCCCCATTTCTCCCTTGATGATTTCTATCTGCTATGGTCCCACCTCTCTTGAGCTCCTTCTTCCTCTTTGTTCCCATAGTTCTTTGTATAGCGTGTGTGTGTGTGTGTGTGTGTGTGTGTGTGTGTGTTTCTTGTGTTAGTGGCTATCCAAGTACTGTGGATTCACCCATGGAAAAGGTTAACAAAATTGCTGCTCTTAGGAAACTTACACTCAAGTTTTGTTTATATGATTAATCATAAGTGTGTAAACAGATAAGGTAGTAGGGGGTTGCGTCATGTGGTGAAGGAAATGAATACAAAATACAACTCTGAAAGCTACCATAAGTTGTATGGAAAGGTTCTGAGGAAAGGGTGTGTGGGTTGAGAGCTGCATGATGGTAATGAACTGACTTGCTAGTGAGGATTCAGCAGTTAAGTGCACTTGCTGCTCAGTCATGAGGACCAAACTTCTAATTCCATCACCCACATCTGGTGGCTTGTAAACACCTATAACTCCAGCTTCAAGGAATTGAATGTCCTCTTCTGGCCTCTGTGAGCACCTGTTGTGCATACATTCAGACACATATACATAAGCATCAACACAAATAAAATCTTAAAGTCTTAGAACTTGACAGGATCATTTCAGGCAAAAGAGATTGAAAAGGCAAAGGTCATGTGGTAAGCAAGTACATTGAAGAAAAGGATGTAGATGCTTGCTTCAGCAGCACATGTACTAAAATTGGGATGATACAGAGATGATTAATTAGCATGGTCCCTGCACAAGGATGACTCACAGATTCATGAAGCGTTCCATAAAAAAGGATGTAGGCCATTGTGTCTACAGAGTAAGCAAGGAAAAGTCGTAGAAGATGGGTGGGGAAGACTGAACCATCCAGGACCAACCAAGCCTAGGTAACAAGTTGAGTAAACTTCATATAGAGCCAACAGAACTTGCTTTGTAGATCCATGTGTTGGGTCTGGGGGTTCAGGATTTGTGACATAAAAGAATGAGTTTTAAAATTTTTAGATTAAATCTCATTACCAAAGAATTTTAGAGGGATAAGGTATAAAAAACAGAAGGTATTCGTTTTCATTATATTCTTACTATATATATACACACACATTTTATATATATAGTATATACAGAATAGTATATATAGTATAGTATATATAGTATGTATATATACATTACTATATATAAACATTATATTCTTGTCTATCTAAA